TCCTGCTCCTGCTCCTGCTCCTGCTCCTGCTCCTGCTCCTGCTCCAGGTCCTGCTCCTGCTCCGGGTCCTGCTCCTGCTCCCAGTCCCGGTTCCGGTTCCCTTCCTCAGGAGTGGTCTCCAGGCAGTCGGCCTCACGCTGCAGGGTACGGAGGTTGGAGAAGCGGGCACAGTCAGTGCTAGGCCCCCGTCGGGGAGCACACATTGGCCCTCCCTGGAGCTGCTCACTGCCCTGAGCTTCCTGGGGACACCTGGAACTTCACAGGCCAAGAAGCACCTGGGGCCTGGCAGCCAGGACTACATTAACGTGGAACTGTCACCCCCTCTGTGACTTCCCGTGGTCCCTCCCCGAGGTCCCAGCTTCTCCTGGCTGAGGCACCTGCCAGGGGAACCTGCAGCCCCCGGGAATCACAGACCCGAGCCACCTCCAGATGGGTGGACCTCCAGGGTCCTGGAGGTGCAGCCACTGCCACCCTAACCTGGGATACACGTGTACTTCAGTGAAGGAACTAAATTTCAGAAAATCACCAGTACAGCCAGCCACAACCTGGAACAGTCTTGGTGGAAGCTCGCCCTGGGACAGCAAGTCCTCGCCTGTGGCTCCTGCCCAGCCCTGCTGGTGGCAGTGCCCCCCAAACTCGCAGTGCCTGTGGCCCAGGCCCCTGGGCCACTCTCACCTGAACCCCCGAGGGCCCCCCGTCCCCGCCAGGTGCCGTGGCTGTGGGCTGGCCGAGTCCCTCCAGCACCAGCACCCGGTGGACCAGCTGACGGTGCTACCCAGCTCACTGGCCTCTGCTCCGGGTGTCTCGGCGTTCAAGTTCTGCACGAGGAATCTCTGTCCTTGGTACACGACAATCGACTGTGGGGACATGAGCAGAGCCACAGTCTGAGCCTGGGGAACCCCGCAACGCCGCGCCTCCCCGGAACCCATGCCAGACCCTGCTCAGCCATCTTGGCTCCTGCCCCCAGCCCTGGAACTTGGGCGCTGCTGAAACACAGCCATGTGGGTGACAGGACCCTCCAAGCCCAGAGAAGCAAAGTGGAACCTTCCTGCTGAATACAGCCTGTGTTCCCCGGGCCTCAGCAGCCCTGGGCCGGGTGCAGCCGGCGCCCCAGAGGTCCCCACTTCCTCCATCCTGGCCGCCCTACTACACTAGCCACCCCTTGCAGGTCCCCCATGCTGGCCCCCACCTTGCATGGGTTGGTCTCAGCCTGAACATTTCAGACGTGATGCCCTCCTCAGGGGCCCTGCAGGATGCTGGGCATCCGTCCACATCTCCACCCCGTCCCACCCTGCCCCTAAGCGCCAGGAACCCAGTGTCCCTAGGCTAGGAAACACCAGCTTGGAGTGAGCCTCCCCGACCGAGCTCCAGACCAAGGCCAGGCTCTCACTCGTCTATTTCTTTATGTGGTTTAAAAATAGGAAATTCACAGCCAGGCCTGGTGGCGCACACCTGTAATCCCAGCACTCGGGAGGCTGAGGCAGAAAGATAACTTGGAGGTAAGGCCAGCAGGGGCTAAAAAGTGAGTTCAAGGGCAGCCTGAACTGCATAGTGAAACTGTATCAAAAACACAAAATTAATATAAATAAACAGGGCAAGGATGTAGCTCAGTGGCACAAGCACCTCCCTGGCAAGCCCAAGGTCCTGAGTTTGATTCCAGGTAACAGGAATATAAATAAATAAATAAGTAAATAAATACATGAATAAAATTTTAAAAGAGGGCTGGGTATGAGCTCAGTACAGAGGCTCTGGGTTCCATCCCCTGTAGCACAGGAATAAAAAGTCATGAACTATCCCTCTGCCTTCTTGAAGACCTGCACGTGGCTGGTGGGACTCGGCCTCGCACTGCGCTGGGACCCTGTCTGCCTCCTCCACAGCCCCAGACCCCCAGCAGCCCTGCCCTGGGCGGTCCCAGGCCAGGCCCTGCTCACCGCAGGCTTGAGGCTCCCGCCGCTCCGCAGCAAGTCCTCCAGGTCCCTGAAGCTCCGCACGCGCCTCTCCCGTATCAGGACCTGCAGGTCCTCCGGCGCGGAGATCACCACCTGCTCCAGCACCAGCTGCTCCAGGATCTGCTCCTTGGAGTGCAGGTCGGGCCGCAGCCAGTGCCGGCACATCTCCACCAGCTCCCGCAGCGCACGCACAGGGTTTCTGCCCTCCCAGGAGAAGGCCCTGAAGCGCAAGTGCCACTCTTCAGAGTCCCACTCCTGCTTCCCTTGATCCGAGAGACCTGCACTGTCCTCTGCCAGCAGCAGAACGGGCTCCGCCCCGAGTGACATCTGCTGGACCGAATCTTCTCTGCTGTCAGGAAAGCTGTGGGGACAGAGGAGCAGGACCAGCGTCAGCGTCTCACTCCAGCCTCGTGAGCATCTGAACCCTCAGCCCAGTCTAGATCCCACCCCTGCAGCGCCCACCTGGTGCATCCGGAAGCCGCGGCCTCCTGCTCCTGTGACACCCACGCTGCCACCTCCCCTGCAGGCCCCTGCTGGGCGTGGGCCGCAAACGAGTGATCACTTTCCCACTAGCAAAACCGGGGGACTGTTCCCGCCTAGAGACTGAAGGATTCCTGAGGCCTGGCCTAGCGCCTCAAACACGTCTAAGGGTTTTCTTTTCCATGGTAGGGGGATCAAACCCAGAGCCTTCACCGCGAGCTGCACCCGAGCCCTTTACTGCTTTTCTGAGACAGGATCCTGCTCAGTCACTAAATTGCCCAGGCTGTCCTTAAACTGGGCTCCTCCCGCCTCAGCCTCCCAGAGTGTCTGGACACAGGGACGCAGACGTGGGCAGCTCAATCTCAGGTCACCAGTGCATAAAGAGCACAAAAGACAAGCCCCTACACAGGCATTCCGTTGTCTCTCTCTCTCTCTCTCTCTCTCTCTCGCTCTCTCGCGCTCTCACTAGGGATTGAGCTCGTGACTTCGTGCTTGCCAGGCAGGTGCTTCCGTCTTTGAGCTATATCCCCAGCCCCTTGGCATCTCCTAGTTACTGCTGTAACACCGAAACGAGCTCAGCACAAAATCTGCCATCTTACTCCTCCCACAGTGTGCAAGCTGTGGGCTTATGCACACCATGAGCGGAGGGTGACGGGTCACACGTGTAATCCCAGCAGTCTGCGAGACAGCGGCGGGAGGACCCCTGACTCAACCCACATGTATAGACGGGGGAAAGGGCTGAAAGGAGGAGAGAGCGGTGGGAATAAATCGCACTGAAGCGGACGTCGTAGGGGTACAGATTCCGCCGATGAACACGAGCACTACGCGAAGGCCTCGCTTCGACCCCAGGGGCGTGCGCGCGCACACACAAACGTTCAAAGGTGTCTTTGACCTATATCCCCAGCCCCTTGGCATATAAACCAAGAAGGAAACCTTGGTTTAAAATCTACCGCGGCATCGGCAAGGGCCCCCCGCGGGGGACGGACCCCCACGCCCAGAGCTGCGCAGCGCCCCGCGCCCCGCGCCTACCTGGCCGGGTCCTCCCGGCTGCTCGCTGCCGCTGCAGGAAACTCACCGCGGGTCCTCGACCGTGGCTCGCAGAGCCCACCGACGCGGCTGTTTGCACCGCCCGCCCCCGGATTGGTTCCCGCCCAAGAACTGCGCCCGCGCGCCCGCACCCAGGACCACCCTTCCCGCCCCACCCCGCCCAGAGAACGGGTGATTGGGCGCGCCCCTGAGCCACGTGCCACGTGCCACGGGCCAGGCGTGGTCGGGGGAGCTCTGCACCCCTGCAGGGCGACCCCCGCCTGTTCAGTTCCTAGTGTAGAGCTGAACCTTGTTGTTTTGGTTTCCTGTCAATGTATCTGGCAAGATTTTATTTCAAATCAACCTAGAAAGAGTCTCACCCCAGTAATCCCAGCAACGGGCAGGCTGAGGCAGGGGGCATGCAAATTTGAGCTCAGCCCGGGCAATTTAGGAACCTCTAAATCCCTAAATCTCTCAACAAAATACAGGAGCAGGGCGTGGTGGCACACACGTGTAATCCCAGCACTTGGGAGGCTGAGGCAGGAGGATCACTTCGAGTTTGAGGCCAGCCTGGGCTACATAGCAAGACCCTGTCTCAAAAAAATAAAACAAAACTTTAAAAAATTTAATGTAAATTAGAGGGATGTTGGTTTTAGGCTGATTCTGGTTTAAATCCATAAGAAATTTTCTTTTCTTGATATCGGAGGTGTAATTCAGGAGTGCTGTACTGCTGAACCAGCCCAGCCTCGAACCCACAGTGGTCCTCTTGCCTCAGTCTCCTGAGTGCTGAGGTTACAAATGTTGCTGCCACACCCAGCTTAACTTTCTTTTGAAACACAGTCTTCCTCAGCATCCTGAGCGCTGGGATTATAGGCACGCACCAGGGTGCACAGCTCAAGTCGCCAGGAACTCTTAATCCTGTGGATTTTCTGCTGTGGTCAGCAGAATCTGGGAACCACCTCTTCCTTAAGGTTAAGCAAGGCTGTAATGGTGACATGTGTGACTCAAGGTCACATTGCCAAAAAAAAAAAGTGAGCCAGACCTGGTGGTGCCAGACAGGACCCCAGAGGCTTTGGAGGCAGCGCAGGAGGCTGAGATCTGAGGCCTGCTGGGCCACGCGGGGGCCGGGGCACCCCCAAGCCTTCCACACCCCCCAGCCTCCCGCTCAGGCTTGGCACCTCTGTCCCTGGTTCTACCCAGAAAAATGCTTTCCTGCAAAGTTCCAATATACATCTGTTTATGTTCCACCTTTCTTGAGGCAGAGCTGACTAAAGTCATATGTATTGGGGCTGGGGAGGTGGCTCAGTAGAATAAGTGCTTGCCTGGAAAGCGCAAGAGCCTGAGCTCAATCCCAGGTTCTGAAAGAAAAAAGAAAGAAAAAGAAAAAGAAGAAGAAAGTCATACATATTAAGGGTGCAAAATTTGATTGTTAAAATTTATTCTTTTTTCCCTTTCTTGAGGCAGGGTCTTGCTGTATAATGCAGGCTGACCTTAATAAACTCCCAACAATCCTCCTGCCTCAGCCTCCTGAGTGCTGGGATTAAAGGCCTGTGCCACCCAGCTAAAAGTAAATTTTAACTTTTATTCCCACACTAAAATGATAAACTGGAGGGGCAATGAACTTGGTCATGGCTCCTTTCACAACGCTCCCATACGCCAAAGCATCGCTATGCCTCCTGTATTACGTACGATTATGATTTGCCAGTTCACTTCTAGCATTTCAGATAGGCGGGGCATTAGTCCCATTTTGATCGTGCGTAGTGGGATAATTACCAGGAGCAGGCAGGCTGGCACCCCCGGCGCCCACCAGGGCTTCCCTGTCTGTTTCCTTTCTTCTCTGTCTGTGCAGGTCCAGCGGGAGCCCTTAGCTTCCAACCTCTTAGCAGATGGGGGTCAGGCCTGGGGTCAGGCCTGGGGTGCACATCCAGTGTGGCCTTTTGCTGTCAGGGATAGATGTGGGGACCCCAGCGGGTGCTCAGACCCTGGACCTCACCCAGCCCTACACCCCGCAGCATGGGCACCATGTTGTGGTGAGCCGGGATCGGCCAGGGCAATGGAGGGCAACAGTGTCATGGACACACGTGGAGATTTCCACATGCTGGAGCCAGTCGTGGGGAAGACCATATGGTCTTCCATGAGTGCGCTGTGAATGCACTCAGTATCACAGTACAAATCTGGGTCTTGAACTAGGCATCGTGAGCAGCCCCTGGTTCTAGCCACTCCGGAGGCTGGCGCAGGAGGATCGCTGTGAGTCTGAGGCCAGCCGGGTAACGCTGTACAAAAGGTTGTGTGCAGCTTAGTGCACAGCACTTACCTAGTACACGTGAGGGGCTGGGCTCGATCTCAAGCACTGAAGGGAGATGGAGAGAGAGCGGGAGAGATGGAGACAGGACAGAGAGACAGGTGGAGAGAGAGCGGGAGAGATGGAGACAGGACAGAGAGACAGGTGGAGAGAGAGATGGAGACAGGACAGAGAGACAGGTGGAGAGAGAGAGGGAGACAGGACAGAGAGACAGGTGGAGAGAGATGGAGACAGGACAGAGAGACAGATGGAGAGGGAAAGATGGATACAGGACAGAGAGACAGGTGGAGAGGGAGCGGGAGAGATGGAGATGGGACAGAGAGACAGGTGGAGAGAGAGAGGGAGAGATGGAGACGGGACACAGAGACAGGTGGAGAGAGAGAAGGAGAGATGGAGACAGGACAGAGAGATAGGTGGAGAGAGAGAGATGGAGACGGGACAGAGAGACAGGTGGAGAGGGAGAGGGAGAGATGAAGACAGGACAGAGAGACAGGTGGAGAGAGAGAGAGGGAGAGATGGAGACAGGACAGAGAGACAGGTGGAGAGAGAGAGGGAGAGATGGAGACGGGACACAGAGACAGGTGGAGAGAGAGAGAGGGAGAGATGGAGACAGGACAGAGAGACAGGTGGAGAGAGAGAGGGAGAGATGGAGACGGGACAGAGAGACAGGTGGAGAGGGAGAGGGAGAGATGGAGACAGGACAGAGAGACAGGTGCAGAGAAAGGGAGAGAGACAGAGAGGAGAGAGGTGGAGAGAGAGGAGAGACAGAGACAGGAGAGAGACATAGGAAGAGGGAGGTGGAGAGAACAGGAGAGAGACAGACAGGACAGAGAGAGAGGGAGAGAGACAGAGACAGGAGAGAGATAGATGGAGAGAGAAAGAAAGGTGGAGAGAGAGAAAGAGAGAGACAGAGACAGGGCAGAGAAGGGAGGTGGAGAGAGAGAGGGAGAGTCGGAGACAGGACAGAGAGAAAAAGAGGTGGAAAGAGAGAGAGTTGGAGACAGGACAGAGAAAGAAAGGGAGAGAGTCAGAGACAGAGGACAGAGAGAGGAAGAGGGAGGTGGAGAGAAGGGGAACGAGACTGAGACAGAACAGAAAGGGAGGTAGGGAGAGAGAGATGGAGACGGGACAGACAGAGGGAGAGGGAGGTGGAGAGAGACAGACACAGGACAGAGTTGAACCCGTGGCTGACTGACTGCTCTGCCGCGTCCCAGGAGCCATCTGGCACGTAGGGCTGGCTGGAACAAGCTCCTCGGCTGGGGGTGCCCCGGCCTGCATGTGGGGTCTGCGGGTGTCCTTGAGCGTCAAATGAGATCTGCTTCTCCTTCTGCATCGGAGGTGTGTGTGCCCGTGCATGTGTGCGGTGTCACTGGCTCCAGGGCTCCTCCAGGATACAGCAGCAGCAGCAGCAGCAGCAGCTGGGAGTTCCGAGAGAAGGCAGAGGGTCGGGCCTCGAGCTGGTGGGCGGGCGGCACCAAGGGCATGGGGGTCCCACTGCCCGCCATGCCTGCTGAGGACCCTGGGGCCACTCGAGACAGGGCCCTGTCCCAGGCCCCTCTGCAGGACCTGCTCCCCTCCCTCCGTGGGGACAGTCAAGGCCCCTAAGTCATACTGTCCTCTCAAGGCCCTGGATCCTCAGCTCGTCCCCATGGGGTTCTGATCAGCAGGAGACTGATCCAGCCAAGCCGTCCAAGCGAGCACGTTCTGCGAGCCCTGTGTGTACATATGCATGTGTGTGTGTGTGTGCCGTGCCCATGTGTGCGTGTGTGCACGTGCACGCCCTCCAGCGGCTGCTTGGCCCTGCCCTGAGAGGCCCCAGGGTCCTCAGCAGGCACGGCGGGCAGTGGGACCCCCATGCCCTTGGTGCCGCCCGCCCACCAGCTCGAGGCCCGTCCCTCCGCCTTCTCTCGGAACTCCCAGCCGCTGCTGCTGCTGCTGTGTCCTGGAGGAGCCCTGGAGCAGGGACACTGCACATGTGTACGGGCACACACCTCCGATGCACACCAGGCCTGACCGTGTGCATCTCTTCCCTGGCCTGCTCCCATCACCGACCTCCATCACCCATGCCTTGGCACTGAGCCTTGGGACAGAGGTCAAACCCCTTTTGCTTCTCAGCCACAGTCAGAAAGGGAGTCCAAAGTCAGCGGCCCCAGAGCCAGTCAGGCCTGTACAGACCTTGGTGCTGTTGCCCTCCCAGCCGAAGCCCTCAGCAGAGGCGAGAGCGCGCCCTGCTGGGTCCCTGGAGTTCCCGTACCTGCTGGGAAGCCCCCGCCCCGCCCCAGGCCTCCTAGACACCCCTGCCTGCCGCAGTCTCCTGCACTGAGTGTGGTGCTCCGACAGCCCTTGGTGATGCTGCTCAACATGAGTCCCTGCCCTTACCTGAAACCTCCAGTGGCTCCCGAGTGCTTGGGACAGCCTTGCCACCCTGCCCACGACCCTTGAGACTGCCCTGCCCTGGTGGCCCTTGCTGTCCCTGGGCAGAGCCCCTGCCCCAGGTGGTTTCAAGGCTCCCAGACATGGATCTCAAGGACAGTGGGCCTGTCCTGCTGGTCCGTGCTTTTTGCCCCAAAGTCCCATTGCCTTCCAAATAAAAACTCCTGCTCCGCTTGCGGGCATGGTTGTCCACCGTCTCCTCAACTCTTAGCAAGTTCTTTTTTTTTCTTTTTTCTTTTTTAAAAATCTTTTTGAGACAGGGTCTCACTGCGCAGTTCAGGCTCAACTTGAGCTCACTCTATAGCCCATGCTGATCTTGAACTTGCAGCAGTCCTCCTGCCTCAGCCTCCTGAGTGCTGGGGTTACAGGCATGGACTACCATGCCTGGCCCCCAGACAAATTGATCATGAATTCAAAACAAATGAGGGAAGGCCAGGGAGATCGCTCATTAAAATAAGTGTTTGCCTGGCAAGTGCAAGGTCCTGAGTTCAATCCCCCGTACCACACACACACACACACACACACACACACAAACTACTCTAGAATATTGTTGGGTTCAGTGGCACACACCTGTAGAAAAATAAATAAATAAATAAATAAATAGATAAATAAATAAAACAGGGCTGGCAAGATAGCTCAGCGGACTAAAGCACCTGCTTGGGCAGAGCGCAGCAGCCGGGGTTGGATCCGCGGCGTGCTGTGCCAGCCCTGCCCCTGGGGCGTGCTGAGATGGCCATTGAGACTGGGCGTGGTGGTGCGTGCCTGTAATCCCAGTGCTTGGGAGGCTGAAAACAGGAGGATCACTGAGTCCACCCTATATAGTGAGACCCTGTAGATCCTGTCCTATATGCATTAAAACAAAACAAAACAAAGCAAGCGAGATTCAGTTTTTAACCAATCAGCATAGGGCTTCTGCGACTCTCACTCGGTTTGTCCTCAGTGACTGAAACGTCACCACCTAAGGCAGAGAGGTGGCACCTGCTCCCAGGAGAGACGTGGACAGCATATGCCTCCCAGGGCCTGCTTGCCTCATCCTGGGCCCTGGGGAAGCTCAGCCCGGCGCTCTGCCCCCGAGCGTTGGCCTCACCAAGGCCCTTTCCTGCTCATGGCCCAGCTCCCTTGTGCTGGCGTCCGGCCTGGCTGCCGCTGCCCCGGCGACCCAGCGCACGGCTGTCAGTGTCACCACGTCCCCTACGGGTAACCTGGCCTCCTGATAACAGGCGAACTCAGATGTGGTTCTGGTGTCCCCGTCAGGGTGTGGGAGCCAATGCCAAGCACTCCGCACGCTGTACCCCGAACCCGGGCCCTGCCCACCGCCCAGGCAGCACCAGAGCAAACTGGGCAGCCAGCTTTGCAGGGGAGCACTCTCATGCCACCCGTCCTGTTCACTGTCTCAGGGGGAGAAGGGGATTTGATCGCCCCACACTTGCTCCGCATTCGCCTGTCTGTGACACTGTGCAGTCGGCACAGGGGCAGAGTGGGCAGCTGCAGCCCACCTAGGGCACAGGAAGCTGACGGCCGGGCTGGTGACCTCGGTTTTGGCCTGCAGACATCTAGGAAGTGGCTGTCCTTTGTCACTGCCTGTGTTCTGTGAGGAGGCTCTTAGCAACGACACGCGGCGTCGCTGAGCTCTAGCTCCAGCCTTTTTATGTTTTACTTTGAGACAGATGCTTGCTTAGTTCCCGAGGTTGGGTTTGAACTTAGGACCCTCCTGCCTCAGTCTCCCTGAGAGCTGGGATCCTGGCCTGCAGTTCCACCCACTGGGTCCCACTCTTCCGAGTTCCCATAGCCTCTGCTACCCTTTCCGCTTGGGCTCCTTTCCAAGCCCATGGCCCCAGGGCCGCTGTGACTTCCGCATTCCCTCCTCAGCACTTCCTGGCTTCATCAAACTATTATTTGGGGGCATGGATGTTTAGTCCTCGGTCCTAGGAACCCTGGCCTGTACTGTCAGTGCAGTTCCCTGGGGCACAGTGGGACTGGGGACATGACAGCTGCCAAAGGGGTCCACACCACATCCAGCCTGGTCTCACCATGTCTGGATACACCGTGGGGTGTGCTGGTGCTCAAAGGCAGAGGCAGGAGGATTGAAGTGTCAAGCCCAGCATGGGCAATTTAGAGACCCAGAGAGACCACCTCAATATAAAACAGAAAAAGGCCAGGTGTGGCGGCCCACACCTGTCATCCCAGCACCCAGGAGCCTGAGGCAGGAGGATTGTTGTGGGTTCGAGACCAGCCTGGGCTACAAAGTGAGCTCAAGCCCAACCCAAGCTGCATAGTGAGACTCTGTCTTAAAAAGACCACAAAAAGAATGAAAAAAAAAAAGCAAAACAAAAAACCGCCAAAGACGCCAGCCACCTCCCTGGCCTGGGAACTGGAAGGAGCTCAGGAGATGGCACGGCGGGCACGCATTACGACCGTCATCTTTATTAGTATTTCTGCCTCCGCTTTTTCTTAAATTGACAAACACAAACCTGTAGAGTGGACAGGCAGTCCCAGCACGTGCTCGGGTAAGTGACACCTGCCCTCCCCCACATGCTGCACTCCACCCACCCGCCGCTTCCCCAAGCCCGGCTGTGGCTGTGTGCTCTCCGGGCCGCCTCCTGCTGCGCTCCTGAGCTTCCTTCCCTGCGTGGACTGTTCCGTGTTCCTTGGCATCCGCTGTAGACAAGCCTCCATCCGGTCAGGACCCACAGCTCTGCACCGGGGCTGGGGGTTGCGTCCACCACGCCTGGCTCCGCTTTGTTTTCTGCTGGGGACAAGGCGAGCACTGCGGCCGGCTGGGAGCTGAGGCCGGCCCCATCTGCAGCTAGGCCTGCCTTGCCCGCAGTGGTCAGGCCCTGTGGGCGGGGTGGGGGAGGGGACAGGGCTAGGGGCCGACAGGAAATCACTCTCATGCTGTCCAGGGACAGACAAGGTGTCGCTGTGAGCGCTGCATGGCAATGAGAATGGAGAGGCTGGTGCTGGGGTACTCAGCAGAGGACTCTGCCCTGTGAGAGGCTGGTGACCTCAGAGACATGCTGCCCAGGCCACTGTCCTCCCCAACATGAAGGGGCGGCTACGGCCAGCCATCTGGAGCAGAGAGGGCTGCGCTGGGACCATAGGCGACAGCAGACCTCCACTGGGAGCACCCCAAGGTGGGAGCACCCCAGAGGGAGCCTCCCCTGTGGGCGAACCTGCACCCCTCGGCAGGACACAGACAGGAGTCCAGGCCCAACCGCGGAGCCCCTGCGGGGTTTCTGGTCCGTGGAGCTTGCAACGTGAGCCTCACAGCTGCCACCAGTGGCAGGTGGGGCCTGCGCCACAGGGCGCCCGCGTCCAGCATCCGTGCTTGTCTGCTGGGCAGGGAGCTGCTGTTCTGATTTTGCTTGTTTTTCTCTGCAGATGTAGCTGTCTGGATTCACCACATCCCTCCACTCACTGCTGTTATTGATTGGCCAACAGCACTTCTTTTAAACTTGTTAAGGGGCTGGGGAGATGGCTCAGTAGAATAAGTGCTTGCCCAGCAAGAGCAAGGGTCTGAGTTCAAATTCCGGGTTCCGCAAAAATAAATTAATTAAATTTTAAAAAATTGTTATTCTGAGCCAGGCGTGGTGGGCCAGCCTATAATCCCAGCACTTTGCACACTGAGGCAGGAGGATCACCATGAGTTTGAGGCCAGCCTGAGCCATGTCATTCAGGGCCACCCTAACTACATAGAAAGACCGTGTCTTTAAAATAAATAGGGTTGGGGAGATAGCTCGGTGATCCAAGCACTCGCCTGAAAGCCCAAGGACCTGGGTTCAATCCCTGGTACCACATGCCATGCTGACCCTCTGCCATGCCAGCCACCAAAGCTGGGCGTGGTGGTGAACGCCTGTAATCCCAGCACTGGGGAGGCTGAGACATGAAGACCACTCTGAGTCTGAGCCATATAGCAAGACCTTGTACCAAATAAATGCATCAAATAAATGATTTTTAATTAATTAATAAATTAAAAATATATTACTCCAGCCAGGCTTCCTGGCATGGTATAAGCCCAGCACTCTGGAGGCAGAGGCACGAGGACTGCAAGTTCGAAACATATTGGACAGTCTCACAATTAACAATAATAATCACAAAGGTCTAGAGACTTCCCTCAGTGTGAAGGCCTGGGGGGCATCTCTAGCACAAGTAAACGGCCTCTCTGTGCCAGTTCCTAACGCACTCCCCATGTACTCTTGATTTTCACTACTTCTCTGACCCATTTTAAAAGGTTGTCGCTTCGTGGCTGGGCTGGTGCTCCAATTCCAGGCCATACGACATGGACTTGCAGTTGGGCTCAGCGGTGCCCTCAGGGCCTGGCCCTGAAAGTTTGAAGACAGCTTGCGTGCAGATGGCTCACAAGGGTCTTTCTTAGCCACGCCCCCCAAGTTGAGGGGGGCTTTGAGGTGGAGAGGACCCGGCCATGGCACCAGGTGCCCGTGTGCCTGCCAGAATCAAGAGGGCGAGGCCCCTTCCCACCAGCACTGGAGCTCGGGAGCCGGACAGCGCCTGATTTCCAAGCAGGGTCAGTGCCACCTCCACAGCCCTCAGGCAGGACTGTTTTTAAAGTTGCCCTGCATGGCGTCACAAGGTCACACAGCTGACACCTACCTGCTCCCATGTTAGAACGTCCTGGGCAGACAGCGGTGTTCCTGCCCTGCTGGGCCTGCCCCATCTGGGGGCACCCAAATGTTCCCAGCCCTGTCCCTCCTGGCTTCCCAGTGCCTTCCTGTTCAGGAGACCCACAGCCCACACGCGCCGTCTTGTATGACAGCTTGGCCCACCCACCAACTGGGACCCACACTGCCCTGGTGGAGGGGTGGCATCCAGGCACCTCTGCCCGGGACGGCCTGCCAGGCGGGGCACAGCCAGCACTCAGATGTCTGCATGCAGCTTGGAGGCCCAGGCACTGCAGCTCAGCCCCCACAGGGCCCGCGCAGGCGCCAGGCCCGGTGCCCCTGCTGCTGCCGCTCCTCCTGTGCGCAGCACGGGCGCTGGGGGAGCCCTGAACTTGTGCAGATAAACAAGCTCTGCCCAGCTGGCCTGTGGGGGTCCTCCTCCCCTAGGAGAGGAGGCACTGGGCCCTGCAGCCCTGCTCGCGCGAGCTAGAGGGCAGGCCTCAGGGAGCGTGGCGCCCCACTCTGGAGGTGCTGTGCTGAGCCAGGTGCCAGCCCGTGGGCCTGGCTGGCTGATGCTGGGGCCGTGCCAAGCTGAGACTCCCTCTTGGAAGTGGGCCACGCCAAAGCTGACGGTGACACCGAAGGACCCAGCACAATCCGACCACAGCCCTTGCCCAGTTCCTGAACTGACGGCCGGGGGTCTGGACTGGATCTGAGCATCGTGCCCGGATGCTGCCCCTGTGAGAGCAGGCAGGCCGGTCCGAGGTGGACTCAGAGGGAAAGAGAGAGCCGGACGCACGGGCGCACTGCAGCAACTTTATTCCCGGGTTCTGGCGCGTGGTATCCCGCCACTGTCTCTGTCCATGTCGCCCACGTCCAGCAGCCAGCCTGGCCCCTCTGTCCTGGGGCCGAGATCCAGGCCCTGGCCCTTAGCAAACCGTGCTGCTCCCCT